AACTGAAACTTTCAGGAAAACCTTTTTTTTTTGGTCTATAAAATTATGACGTAACGAGAAAAAAAATTTAAAAAAAAAATTTCGATTTTTGACGATTTTTGAAATTTAAAAAAGTTTGGAGCGACCTCTTAAAAATGTTTTTTTGAGCTGTTCTATTTATAAAATATTTAAAATTTTATAAAATAATTTTTAATAATTAAGGTAAAAGACCCAATTATTGACACTGGCTTAGTTACTGACACTTGCAATTTTATTTTAATTAAAAAAAAAAAAAAACAAATCTCTAATAAATTAATAAATATAATTTTTGAATTATAAATTTTAAGAAAATTGGTTTTTTGAGAATGAAAATTAAGTTAGCCGACATTTCGAAATTTTTAGAAATTTTTTATTGAAAAAATTTCAATTAAACAATTAAAAAAAAAAATTTCACATGTAAAAAACTTTAAAAACTATAAGTGCAATTTTTTATAATATCTTTTTAGTTGTAATTTAATTAATAAAAAGAAATTAATAAATTTTTAGACGTCTGCTAACTTTAGTGTCAGAATAAAATCGCAAGTCTCAAAAAACTAAGCCAGTGTCAATAATTAGGTCTTTTTTTCTAATCAGAGAACTTAATAAAATTTCTTATAATTAATAATAAAAAATAAAAATATTAGGCGCAGTAGCCTATCGGATCCGGCCCTTGCTTACCAAAGCATTGGACCGGGTTCGAGTCCGGCGTACACCAATGAATATTTTCAATATTTAAGTGTATTATACTGCTTAGTCCAAGAAATAAAACGAGTTCCAATCTCAAAAGTTTACCCCCTACCGCAGTCGCTCATGACCTTAGTAGTTTATGCGACTTTAAACAAATTAAGAAAAAAAAAAAAAATAAAAAATAAAAATATTTTCTAGCAAGTATCACCGGATTCCAGAGATAACGTTAAGTTTATAGACGATCCAGAGCTGGCATACGTAATGCAGCGTTACCGTGAAGTTCATGATATATTTCATGCCGTCCTGTTAATGCCAACAACTATGCTCGGTGAAGTGAGTGTCAAGTGGGTTGAAGCACTTCAAACCAAGTTACCCATGTGTATCGGTGGTGCATTGTTCGGCGCAGCTCGTCTACGTCCTCGGTATATAACTTTATATTCATATCAACATCAATTACCTCTTAGCTACAGCTTATTACTATTAACTACAGCAAGGACATCAATGTACACAATTATTATTATGCTTTATATTATTTTTTTTTCTTTTTATAGCCAAAGAAAACTGTACGTAAAGCATCATTTACCTTGGGCTATAAATACTGGAAAAAAGGCCGGATTCCTCTTGAATACATACTTCGAAAACCGGTGGGAGCAATCGCTCGATGATTTCCACAAGGAAATGAATATTCAGCGACTTGTTTGAGATTATAATTGATAAGTATCTATGGTATTTTGTAGATAAGATTTTGAATAATAAATAAAATAATTTTAAGAGTTACACAGTATAACAATTTTCATTTATTGATTGTAACACTGGAAATATTAAGAATATAATTTTTTAATGGAATACGATAATCCATATTACAAAAATTTTTGTGTACGGTAAATATATATATAATTTTTTTTTATATATATATATATATATGTATTATTAATTAATTATATTATATATATATATATATATATATTTTTTTGTTTAGAACTACGGATCTTGTTTAATAAAATCTATCGACTACTTGGAGACATTAAACCATTTGGGCGTCTGATTATTATTGTTAAAACATTTTAACATTAATTAAGAGTCAATACTGTTCGCTTGATTATATATGTACAGACTACAAATTAATCATCATCATCACCAATTATTATTATTATTATTATAACTAATAATAATACCATGATAATAGTAATAATAATAATAATTATATAATTAATAATTAATTAATTACTATGTTTTATCAACAAAGCAAATACTGCATTATAATTATAACAAATAACTAGTTTCACTTTAGCCCAATAATTAATAATTATAATTTGCAATATCATATATCACGAGTGATGCAACTCCCAAAAATTGATTGTCGTATAAATTGTCATTCCTCGTAGTATTTTGTCAATAATAGATAATACCGCGTTTTATTTAACATAAATGTTAATACTAATTCAGCATTCGCCGTTCAATTATTTATTTTTTTTGGTTTTTTTTTTTTTCAATAATAATAATCATTATTATTATTTATTATTATTCTTTTGTAAACATTTTTAAATAGTTTATACGTTTTATATAAATAATTTCATATATATCTATATATCTGTAAGAAGAGATATCAAGCAATTTTTGTCATATGACATATCACAATCCGATGATTGCATTTGTGGTACTTCTTATGTTTTAATTGTCATTATGTAAAATAATATATTATTCATTATTGTTTAATGATATTCAATCCAATTGAATTAAATTCAATTCAATAGTTTGTCCTGTTCAATACAGACAATAGTAACAATTATTCTCCGAATGTAACGTAAATTGTAATATACAAATAAATTGTGATATTGAATTGAGGAAGAGCTAAGGGCTCGAGCAACAATGCACTAAAGTTAACTACTATAATGATAATAATAAAATGAATAGAAGCCGTATTAGTAAGTAATGACAGACCTGAGCGGCGAAGAGGAAAGGTACAGGTGTATTATATTAATTAATTTACAAGAAGTCCACTCAACTATACATATACATCTTAAATTTCTTATATAATCCTTCGTTATAATTATAAGTTAGTCATTAGTCATTAATAATTAATAATAATGATATAATATTTATCATGAGCATGATATAAATTTAACGACGCGTCTTTGGCTTACAGTGAAGACTAGGATATGTGGGACGCAACGTGAACATTAACTCATGAAGCGTATTACTCTTAAATTTATCGTCGTTGATAATTGCATTGTGTTTATTATTATTATTATTATTATTTAATAATAAACATGATTAATTATTAATTAGTATTAACTTGTTTATCAATAAACTCCACGTCTTAGTCTCGTATCAATATATATATATATATATTTAATAACCTAATTTATATTGACTTGCTCTAACGGCTAAATATACAAGAGCGATTAAAAAAAAAAAAAAAAAAGAAGAAAAAAAAACTCTATAAATAATGAGATTTAATCTGCCTACTCTTATCGGGTATTACTATTTGTTTTAATCTTGTTGTGTTATCGATGAGCTTGGAGAGAAATTAGCACTTGACATGGATTATAAAAAATCTTACCTTGTAGATGCTTATAAATAAATTACGATTATGCTTACAGGAAGAAGATAAACCTAGTTGAGCATAAATTAGTTGGCCAGAGTTATCCCCTCAGCCGGTGGTGGTGGTTGGTGATTGTACATACAATGTATATGTATATAATATATATATATGTATATATTTATTTATGATATAAATATATAGAGATTAATGCTTGGTAGCTGATTGTGTTGGGTTATTGGTCCTGCGACATGCCGAGCTCTTCCGGTCCCCAGTAATTTTCTATTCATTAAGCGTTAAACGTTTTAGGAAGACGTATATGTCTTCGAAACTCGGCCGCTCTTCTGCGTGTTTACTCCAACACTTGGTCATCATACGGTAGAGATCCCTGGAGCATGTTGCCGGCTGTGATAGTACACGTGTTTTCTTGTCTTGAGATGACGATGACAATGTCGTGGTGCTCGTGCTCGTAGAATGGTACCAATTACCGCAGTTCTCCAGCACTTGCTCCGAAGTCATGTCCGAAAATGGTAAATCTTCGCAGTATGTTAATATCTCCCATACTGTTGTTGCATATGACCATACATCTGCTTGACAGCTTCGTTTACTCTGGAATTTTTAATTCATAAACGCATTTTTAATTACTTTCAGTTATTTATTATTCAAATTATTATTTCTTCACTATTATAATTGAAAATATTCTTAAAAGTATCTTCATTTTGTTAAAAATTCGATTTTAATTACACATAGCTAACATTTTTAATGACAATTAAGTTAGCCGACATCTGAAAATTTTAAGAATTTTTTTTCATTGAAAAAGTTATTACAAAAAAATGAAAAAAAAAAAATTTGATTTGTATAAAACTGTAAGTGCAATTTTTTAAAAATATTTTTTTGTTCTCATTTAATTATTCAAAAACAAATCAAAAAACTAAAAATGTCGGCTAACTTTATAGTATTATATATTTTTATGTAAGAAGAAATACAAAAATGAAATTTTGAAGTTAAAATTTACTTTATTGATAATTCCAAGTTTTTTTTTATCTGTGTCAGCAAAATTGCTACCACGTAAGCCTCTTTTTTTTTATCAACTTTTAATATCTCTTCTTTATTTATTATTCAAATTACAATGAAAGTTTATAGTGTTTTAACTCTACAACCGAGTAGAAGGACAACCTAAAGCAAAACTTTCCACCTCATGACTTTGAGAATAAATAAAAAAGAAAAAAAATTGTTAATTAAAAAAAATCTACTATAATAAAAATTTTTCCAAGTGAAGGAAGCGAAATAAATGTCAGTTATCAATCAAAAATAAACTTATTGATTTGCAAACGGGTAAACAATTTAAATTCGAGTCAACAATTCAAAATGGCGAATTCTCCAATCTCTTCCAACAGTTAATTGTTAATTATTGATTTATTTGTATTTAAAAAGTACTTAAAATGATTTTTTTGTATTTAATAAATCTGATATTTATTAATAAATTTTTTTAAATACTAACAAATATTTGTTAAGGAGTAAAAAGTGGTCTCTAATAAATGATTTGTTAAATATTAAAAAATATTTTTAACTACAAACAAATCCTTCTATCAGTGTGTAATTATAAAGAATTTAAAAAGAAGAAAAATTAAATTTAATTGTCGATTTTTTTTTACAAAAAAAAAAAATGTACAATACGATTATGATATTCGAATATTAAAAAAGCAGAAGCTACCCTCTAAGAATGTTTTAAATTATGAATAAAAAATATTTACCAGTAATACAGCCTCCCATGCCATCCAGCGGAGCGGTATCTTGGTGTAACACTCGTTAACGTAATACTCACTATCGTATTTACTGCAATACATTGCGTGGTCTGATACTTTGATCGATAAATTCTTACCCACCACACAATTCCTTGCGGCTAGGTCACAATGAGCTATATTAAGGCTCTCCAAGTATCTCATACCCGATGCAATATGTGTAATAAATTTAAGTAATCGATTATAACTGCAATTTATAAAATTTATATTAGCATTACATAGCTTATTAATTACTATCGGAGCAGGAGTATCAGGAGCAGTAACAAAAGAAGTGGAAATGGCAACAGTTATGGTTATGATAATGATTAATTAACGGATGAATATGTTATTAGTTGGATTGGAATGAATACACGGAATAGTAGTGTATTATTTGTTGTTATTATTATTATGATTGCTACTGTACCTTAATGGCGCTTCGTTGTCTGATTTTTCACGATTGCGAATGAAATCTGGCAGATCTCCAAGCTCGCCATACTCGAAGACCGCACCAAAAGGCTCCTCCTCAACTAATGCAACTATTCTCGTGATATTTGGGTCACGGATTTTAGCCAGAACATACATATCTCTCATAAAATCTTTCCTGGTAAAAACCACAAAGCAGAATTTATTCAATTAATTAATTTATTTATTTATTTATTTATGTGTTCTGCTATTTGGTATGTTTCAAAGTTTAGAGATTAGCAACCAACAAAGATGCAATAAGCTACAGTATGTGAATACAGACAAATGAATCAACCTAGAGAATAGAAGAGAACTCGGATAATTAAATAAAGTTAAATTATTTACTTGAGCGAGTCGGTAACTCCGCGCCAAAGAGACCGTACAATAACCAATTGTCGATTTCTCATAGTGCCCAAATCCGGGCTGTGAATTCCTTTGGCCTCACAAAGATGAACAAATCCGAAGCTACCTTCTCCTATTTTATCCAAGATCCGCAGTCGGTGTCTTGATATGTGTTGTATGTCGTAATTGTCAACAGCATGCTGATGCTGGTGGTGGTGATGTTGATTATGATTATGGTGTTGGTGCTGGTTATAATAATCTTCTATTAGCAGCGACGTGAACAAGCTCGATCCAGTGTGCTGTTCTCTTCTTTTTATCTGAAATTTAGTCTTTATACCAAGTAGAAATATCCCTTTTATTTTTGACGTTATCAAGGTACAGATTAAATATCATTAAAATTTATTAGCTCAGTATTTCTGGTAACAATAAGGATTTCCGAAAAAATGACGACGTCTGAAATCTTTTTTTTGTGATAATCGACAAATTTGTCATTGTTATACGGAAACATAAAAATAATAAATTATTATTTGAATCATCTTATTGTTCCTCGTAAAACAACGAAAATATCGGACGTTATCAACTTCAAGCTTATATTGTTTTTATATACGCTGGATTGATAAATAAAGTAATTTTATTTTTTATGATCTTCACGAAGAAAAATAATAAAATACTCGTAAAAACTTTATCAAGAAAATTGTGATGAAAAACATAAACTTTTTTTCGTTTGTTCACTTTCAACTAAACAAAATAATTACGGCTTCTTTATCATCATTTTATTTTTCTTAAAGTAATATACCCACAAAATAATTTGACAATTGATTAAATTCTAAAAGTAATTCTTTGAATATTTCCAGAAGAAATAAAAAAAATTCAAGCTTCAACTAAAAATAATCAAATTCAAAAATTTATGTTTTATATAATATTATTACTTCATCACTCACATTGCACGAATTTCAATTCTTCCATGCATGTCTTGAAAATAATAAAAATAAACAAGAGTTCTTTATATTTACTTAAAAGCGCATTCAATCTTCGGTATATCTTACATCTGTGTTTATATAAAAATATTACCAAGGATTTTAACCACCGATGCGCTATAAAATGAAATTTCTTGTCAGTTTATGAAAAAAAAAAAAAAAAACGCCATTCGGCCACACCCGAAATAGAAGGTAGATTTCATAGAATGAATTATCATACAGTAAAAAATTTTACGTCATTGCGTCAAAAAATTTTGTGTTAAAAATAACACAATAAATGTTAAATTTACACAAAAAGTGTTAAATATTTAACACAAAAAAGTGTTGAATATTTCACATAAAAATTTTTAACACAAAATTTTTTGACGCATTTAACACAAAAAAGTGTTGAATATTTCACATAAAAATTTTTAACACAAAATTTTTTGACGCAATAACGCAAAATTTTTTACTGTGCATCTTGTCTCAATAACTTTCGTTTGACATTGAATTAAATTTATTTTAACATTCATAAAAAAGTTGTATTACACATTGCCTGAAAATGGTTCAATTGAACTCTTAATTAACTTCGATGAAATAACTAATAATTGTCAAAATGTCAATGATTTATACATCAAATTAAAGGTAATTTCACGAGCTTTGACATAAATTTATCAAAAATCAGCCATCTTTTTTCAACCAAAAGTTATACACTGTGTTTGAAACTGTGATTTTCACTATTTTGATAATTTTAAAGAGCTACCACTTCTAAATTTATTGACGGATTTCGCTCATCTTCGCACTCATTCAAGATTATTATCCAAAGAATATGTGTGACAAATTTCATCTAGATCCGTCAAGAACTGTAGAAAAAAATTAACTTGATTCAAGAGAAAAATTCTTGAACCAAGAATATAATTTTGGTGGAGGGTAATTGTCTTGAATCAAGACAAAAAATTCTTGAATTAAGTAAAATTTCTTTAAATCAAGAATTTTTCTACTTAAACCAAGAATATTGAGCTCTTCAAAAATATACTTGATTCAAGAACATTTTTTTTTTCTGTGTACACTACCGACAGAAAGTTTCCGAACAAGATGAAAATTTATTAAAACGACTATTAAAGGTAAAATAAATCAATGACACCCACACGGTCGTACACACTTTGTAAAATAAAATAGGATTTTCTTTATAGATGAAATTAATTTGTTTATGTATCATATTTAAATTAAAAAATAAACAAGAAGGTTATCCGGAAATTTTCCGTCGGTACTGTACATGTATAAATTTTTTAACTAACGTTATTTTTGAGCTTTACTCACTAGTTAAGAGATATTACGACACTGATAGAAGGATTTGTTTATAGTTAAAAATATTTCTTAATATTTAACAAATCATTTATTAGAGACCACTTTTTAGTCCTTAAAAAATATTTGTTAGTATTTAAAAAGATTTATTAATATTTAATAAATGGATATCAGATTTAATAAATACAAACAAATCATTTTAAATAACTAAGAAATATTTGTTTAATAATAAAAAGTGATCGCTAATAAATGATTTGTTAACTATTAAAAAATATTTTTTGATACAAATAAATCCTTTTATCAGTGGACAAAATTCCGAATAAATTTCGACATGAGGACCAATGCAAAAGATTGATTTCTATAAAATCTACCTAAAAATGTAATACTACCTCCGCAAAAGTATTTTAAATTTCCCAAAATTCTTTACTTAAAAAAGTTTCTCAATTAAAATATTTTTTATGCGGTTATGCTTTCGGAGATCGTTATAGTTACCAGGAACAATAAGGGTGAGAAAAAGTTCCGGGTAAATAAAATTATTCCACTCCTTGAATACCTAAAAAGAGCGTCAATTAAAAAGGTTCATACAGTAGCAGCAGCAGCAGCAGCAGCAGCAGCAGCAGCAGCATCATCATCAAAGATCTCTTTTACATTAGCATCAGAGGGTCTGGTTTGTATTATAATTATTATTATATCCGTACCTCGATATCATAATACCTCTTGAAAGACAGAAACTAACTGAATGTTTTATGAAAATAGATACAAACCGTGAGAATGTCAGTGGCTGCGTAGTATCCCTCGTACACTTTATGACCCTTGGATGAATAACCATGATGCTTGGAGGACCTGTGGGCATAGGGAGTCTGCGGTTGCGGCCTTTCATTCGTCTCCGCCTCAGGCAAGGCTACTGTTGAATTACCACCGCAAACCTTAGCCGAGGAAGTCGTGGAGCCCCCAGCAGTGCCGGAATTAACCGACTCAGAAGCAAACTCGGCAACGTCTGCATAGTCAGTTTTGGAGCCGCTGAACCTCTCCTCGGGGAAAAGAAGCTTGTAGGTGCTCTCTGCGTACACGCTGCGGTGCTCGTACTCGCTGGGCATGTCGCAGGAGTGGCTCTGCTGCATGTGGTCCCTCATCAAGGTCGCCGCGTCGTAGCTGGACATCGAGCTGGACCTCAGCTTGGAGGAGGAGCCCTTGAAGCTGCCCGTCAGCCTCGACTGCGTTCCGTTAACGACGATCGGGGTCGGCAGCTTCAAATCCTTCACATTTATCGTTATACCTGGAGCTGTTGAGCCACAAAGCAGTGCCGTGTGTTTTTGAAGAAGTGCTACCTTGTTTCGCCCGCGAAGCTTCATCAGGACCACGGTGCAGGTCAGCAGGAGTAACAGGACCGTCAGGGCGCCGCTTACCAATCCGATGTACGTCTGGGACCACCTGGGGCTTACTGGAAACGCGTCTGGCGTCTGGTTCCCGTTTGAATCCGAGTCGGTGATGTTAAACTCGTTGAAGGACGACTCGCTCGGGTCCTCCGTGGTGATGGAATCGTTCTGGGCTGTTGAGACGGTGTCCAATGGTCCCTCCTCGCTCGAATTACCAGACCTAGATCCTGCAACTTGAGATTAACGGGAGTTGGTAAAGATAAGTAAGAGTCTTGTTATATTGAGTGAAGAGTGTATCTTATTACCGGGAGATACTTATTAAGGGTCTTTAAAAGGAATGAGCTTTTTTTTTTTTTTTTTTTTTTCATAAAACAAAGTCTTGAAATTAGTAGAGTAACTTTGAAGATTGGTAAATTAAAATAGAACTTATATTCTTGAGAATTTTCTTTTTTTCTGAAGAATTAGTCGAATTGATTATTGTAATTTTTATTTAAATCAACTACAGCTATTTACTTATAATAATAGAAACAGATATTGATATTATTTTGTTAAGAAATTAATATATTTGTTCATTTTAACAAATTCTTGAGTAAAGAAATTCTTGTCTGGACATATTTTTTATTTCTTCTCAAAATTTGATAAAAACTTTTTTTTTTTAAAAAACATAAGTTAAATAGATAATAAGTACATGCTTTTTTATACTATATTGAATAATAGTGAGATAAAAAGACACCTGATTAATTTTTGGTTTTTTAAAAGATTTTTTTTATCGAGAAGAATAATAAAAAAAGTTTGGAAAATCCAAAAGTGCACGTCTCATAACGCTCATTCATCACAAAAAAAATAAAATAAGATAAAACTGTGAGATGATCGGAAACGCCCATGTGTGGCCAAGGATTGAACTATTTTTTTTTTATCCCTACAATAAAAATACATGACAGTTTGAAGTTAGTCAATAGACGAAAAAATGGGACCTGATTCCTTATTGGTAGAATATAAACCCTCCTCAGTTACTATTGGTCAATCTCCTGGTACGTGAACATATCAATATATCGATATAAATCGAACAGAATAAATTCATTCGAGAATTTCGATAGGGGGCGCGCGAATGCGCGCCGTTAAAAATTCTAGTATAAATATATAGTAGGGTGGTGCAAAAAAACCGACTATTTTTAGAAAAAATAATTTTTTATAATTTAAAAATTTTATTTCATTAATTGCCAAGCGTGGGTTCGAATCCCAAGCTGGTCTTAAAAACCAGCTTGGTTGAGATTTTTAAAAACCAAAAAAACCCCACCGTACCACTCCCAACAGTTAAAGTCGGCGATATGACTAATTGAAGAAAAAAAAAATTATGAGCGACCTTTCAAAATTTAAATTTTGAACTGAAACTTTCAGAAACTTATTTTTTTTTTGGTCTATAAAATTATACTGTAACGAGAAAAAAAAAAATAAAAACAAAAAAATTCGATTTTTGACGATATTTGAAATTTAAAAAAATTTGGAGTGACCTCTTAAAAATTTTTTTTAAGCTGTCCTGTGGAGAGAGCTCTTAAAACATCAAAAACTAACATTTTTTCACTTGACACTAAAAAAAAAAAATAGTCGGTTCTTTTTGCGCCACCCTAATATATAGATATACAAAAAAGACTATTCACTGTTAATGAATTTATTCATTTTTTAATTAAATTACATTGAATTAGACGGTAATTTTCAATAGGCTATTACTCAGAATGATACTGAAGCGAATGAAAAAAAAAAAATGGATTCAAAAAGTGAAGTTTTTTGGGAGTTATTATATTTTTTCAAAACGGTTTTTTTTTATACTATCTAGAAAAAATGTTTTTTAAAAGTATCTACTGTCATAAAAAAGTGTTCTTGTTGATATTTGTCAACTCATTTGATACTCAAAGTGCAAAAAAGATCGGATAAAAGCAATTTAAGCCGAGATAGTTGCTTGACCGTGAGAGAATGGGAGTAAAGCACTACTCAAACGCTTCGCGTTATGACACGTGCAATTGTCATAATATATTTAATGATTGTTGACTTTAGTATAATGATATTTAAAGATATGGAAGTAGTTCAAGCCTAATCATCGAATTTTTTGTGGAACCAATTTTGATTTTGCTAAATTAGAATTATAGACAGACGTTAAGAGTTTTGAAAATAAGACATGCATTAAAAGTATGAAGTAATTTTTTTTTTTTTAGACAATGTAATAAATCAGTGTTGACGAAATTGATACTTAAGTTATTTTTTTTGAACAAAAAAAAATAATTTTTACTAGAATCAAGAAAGAATTGATTTCCTCTTAATACAGTTAAGAAGCTTTTCAATAAGACCAAATTGATATTTTATGGATATAATTGTTAAATTGGAAGATATGTATTCCAATCTCAGCCTCATGGAAGATCAAAGTGTATAGAGAGATTTTTATACCGTTCTGAAGGCTAAGATCTAAGATATTGAACATCTGATCAGTCAATTAGCTTCAAAGGTTCAGAGTGCATTAATTTTACAGTTTCAACCATTGCTTAATTGTTAAGACCAGATGGACATTTATGTAAACGTTTTGATCCTAGCCTAATGGACGGTCAAAGGGTAAAGGATCATTTTTATGCCAGTTCGATGATCAAAGTTAGTATATGGAACTATTACTTAACATATATATATAATTTTGGATCATTTACATAGTTTATAGTTATTATTACACAACGATAGTTATTACATAATACATCGTTACGGTTCAGTGTATTAATAATTATAACTATAACTAACTTTCGTGACAATTATGTTAGTGTAAGTTTGAAGTTTGCTTTTATGAAATTATTCTCTAGTGGTTATCAAAACATGTATATCAAATATGAGTATCTGATTATTAAGAATTAAAGAATATTCTACGATGAAATAAAAATTGGAAGTCACTTTTAATAAAATTAATTTTAATGTTATTGGGAGTTATTTTGCTAAAAAAAATTAAATTATGGATAATTTAATAAGAAAACAAAATCATGGATTTTTTTTAATTGAAAAATAAATTAAGATTAGATCTTTTGGTTTGGCTTAAAATTTGCATTTTATAAAGAATTTTGATAAAAAAAAAAAAATTAACAGTCAGAAAATGTCGATTTGAAGCTTTGAGAATAAATAAATTGATAATAATTACTTCCAATAATTTTTTAAGTTATATTTTCTTCCTAAAACTACATGTGTAATGTAGTAACTAAAACGAAAAAAATAATCCCCAATTTTTTTAAATATCGATATTTATAACTAGTTTATAGTTAATTAAAATTTTTTCCACCGAAAAATTAAAAAAATGAATAACGGTTTGGGATAAAAAGTTAAAAATTGATGTGTGAGTTGCTTTAATTAACGCATATCAAAAATTTAGCAAATTCAAAAAGAGTTGCATAAAAAACTCAGTAATTTGGCACGGAATGCCTGATATATAAAAAACAAATAATAAATAAATTGAAAAAATAAAAAATTACACAGTAAAAAATTTTACGTCATTTTATATTCCAATCGTGTGTAATAATGCATGACGAATACATATTTTTGTGTAGTATACAGATAAGAGCTTAATTTATTATACACAATTTTTTAATGCAATGACAAGTTTTTTTACTGTATACAAACTCTCAACGGAATTGAGTCTTTTTCGTAAATAAATAATGAGTGATATATATATAAAAAAATTTTTAAAATTATATATTTCATATTAATATGAATGTCATATAAACTTACAGCTCTCGAAGGAAATCTCGCTGACAAGAAGCCACTTTGAGCGCGGCTCGAGTTCCAATTTAATGAATCTACCCAGCCGAGATTTTAGCGATACGACTATTGGAATAATTCCTGGCGAGTAGGGTGACTTCTCCTCAACAGATACCTCTATTGATGATGGATCATAACTCTCTCCGTCATTGGAAAACCAGATTTTTAAATTTTTAAAAACCTCGATGCCTCGAACAGGAGCATTGGCTGCGTAAATAACGCACATGTTAAACTCCCGAAGGTCAGAAAATTCAAAAACAAGGGGCACGGGATTAATATCTGTCCACCCGACCCAGTGAGCTAAGGTTGAAGAAACCCTGGGATCCTCGCCCAGCATTCCGTCGACTAATTGACCAAGACCATCTATTAAATACTTAGCGTCTATATCTGTGCGTCCGTCGTAGGACGTGTCTTCAACATTGGAGCCCCCGGGGCCAAAGGTTATGCCCCGAGGTATCTTGTACTTTACTATTCGTTGTTCCCACATACAACCGTATATCTCTACTCGCATACACACGGTCCTTGGGTGCTGGCTGTAGGGCACGAAGCGCACTCTACTCGCCACGAAAGGCAGCTCTAGCTTCTGTCTCTCCACCAGGTACGTATTGCTATTGCCTCGAAGAATTTTGTCACCTGAAAGCGTCTTGTACTGATACCACTTAGAGTTTCTCCAGTACTCGAGGAAGAACGCCTCCGCGTATTCTTGGCCCTGTCCATTTCCAAACCGGCCCTGGGTTTCTGTCCACGTTATCAAGTGGTTCGTCGTCAAGTCGATCTCCAAATACTCGCGGATGTCATTGCTGATCTGCGCTTTGGGACACCACGCGCCTCCGTTTTTCTCCTGGCGGATTCTGAGGTATAATTTTTTATTATTTTTACTTACATTTCATAATCTTATTAAGGTAAAGTACCCAGTAGTTGAACAGGTTTCAAAGTAAAACGTATTTGACCCTACTTTTAATATATAAATATGTAATTATTAGTTCAAATGAGTGATTTTCATGAAAATATAAACAATTTTGAATTGATTGAAGTGCAAAATAACGCAAATAATTGAATATTTATAATTTGACAACGTTTTTTAAGATAGACTATGAAAGGAGTAGTAGTTGAACAATCAATTCTGACAAGCCGCAGTAGTTGAACACTCTGGGAGCAGTAGTTGAACTAATAAAATATATGGCAATAGGCACACCAAAAATTTTTAACGTTTAATTGAAATATTCAAAGATTTATAATATATTATTGAATAATATTAAAAATGACACTGTGAATATTTAATATGTTCATTTAAAAATGAAAAATATTTGTATTAAATTTTTTAATTACATTTTTTATGAATGACAAAGTAAATTTTCAATTATAAATCAAAAAAACCCTTCAAAACGTTCAATAATTTTTAACTACACTAATTTTAGCTATAAAACTTATTTAATTTGCAGTAATTAATACAAATCACAATACTGATCACTAGTACTATAAACCTATTAAGAGGCATCTACTGTACACGTATATACCAAAACCTAACACAATACAAGCGACCCTATTGTTATAACAGCAACTACTTAATAACTAATGTATCAGCCGCTTACAGCATGCTCGTATCGCGGGTAAAAGCTCTCGATAATACGATATAAAATAAATTAACACATTATTATTAGTACTGTAAATGTAATACTCTAAATTCATTTGTTTATTTATTTATTTTAACCACGGCCTCTTACTCGCTCGCTCATAATTAAATAGGCAGGACTCTTACTTACTCTTTATTATTATCACATTGTAACAAGAAAAGAGGAAAGAGGTCGGAACAATGAACTTGTGTTTTATGTTGTGTGATACAGCCCGATACTAATGTATAAGGCTTAAGCGTATAAATCTTTTCATACATGTTCATGCTAATATACTGGTATATGTCGCAATATTGTTATTCAATTTAATTAATTGTATGCTAATTTAACATTAACTCTCGGTGATTATTTTTTTAATTAATCTATAGATATTTTTTACTGCTTGTCCATATGAAAAATTTTTTTTCAAGCCATTTATGATCAAGTCAGATATAAAATATTATTAAAAAATAGAAAATTTTTTTACTTTAATTTTAATTTAACGCAAAATTTATTGCAATAGTTGCCTTTTTGGTGCAATTATTTGAAATAATAATAATTGTTTAAAATTTCCATGATAATTTTAAATTGTAAAATTTATAAAAATTTTACAGGATTTAAATGGGTTGGCTGACTTTTGAGTTTCTTACTCAATACTTCTTTAAAATTTTTCAATGTCGAATTTTAGAATTAAAAAATTCACAAAACTTTTAAACATGTGTTCAAAAAATTTTGTTTACTAATAATTATTTTTTACTGATTGTTCGGTTTACGGTTTAGTACTTTTTTCATGAAAAAAATAGCATCTATCGGCGATTCTTGACATGTCAACTTTAAAGTTAACAAAAATGTAATTGTTTTGATTTATAATTGAAAAAACTTACCAAAATCAATTACTGTATCATTGAATAATTATAAAATGCGCATATGACTCATAATATATATACAGATTTTGTATTGCAGCAATTCTAAAAGTCTGTTCAACTACTGGTCCCATTTTTAGAAGTGTTCAAGTACTGGGTACTTTACTTTAATGTAGTTTATATTTTTCTTTTAGGTTTGAGATTTCGAATTTTATATTCATATTGAGAAAAAAAAAATTAATGGGTTAATTTTTTTTTATCAACCAAAACAGACTGAAAAGTATATAAAGAGTTTGTTTGTATAAATTACTCTCGAGTTGAAATATTGAAGTTACATCTGCATAGTGAACGTAGATTAAAATTACAATGAGTTAATAAATTTATCTTAAGTTTAATTTACTAGAAATGAACCAGCGAGTAACATTTTTCTATAATTACACATTCTACTCCGTAATACTCGTAGAGTTTTTTTTTTTTTGTTGAATTTTGTTCAAATAAATTTGGTCAACATAAATTCACTTAAGGTCAATTTAGTTTCACATAATATATTTAAATAAACCATTAGATTTACAGAGATAAATCCAATGTTAGTGAATTGTTTGTAACTTAAATGCAAGTTAGTTATTTTGACTCCAATTTACGTAAAATTTTGTTAGCTATTTTCAAATATAAATAATATTAAAGTTAACTTTTGTATGGTTTTAAAAAATTTAATTTAATGAATAAATTTTTTTTAGTTTTGAAAATTTTTTTACTTTTAAAATAGTAAAAAATCTGTTATTTTTAAGTATTATAATTAAAAAACCTAAAAATTATTGCGTTGTTTTTGAACAATGAAAGATAATTATAGCATGGTTATTAATTTTCGCATTGGTCTCGCACCGTAAAGCGAGTGATTAAAATTTGAATAATAAATGACAACTCAGATATTTATTAGTTTTTTTAATTAAAAAATATTCGCGTGAATTACTGAGAAACTAAACACGGGATTGTTTTAAATTTTAAAAAGTTTAATTTTTTTTTATCGAAAAATTTTTTATTTTTTAGATAGCAAGAGAAGTTCAAGAGATATACACTGTCCAATTTAAAAACTTGAAAATTTATTTTTTGGCTTAAATCCAGAAACAACAAACTAAATAAAACGATGTGATAATGTGCAAAAATGTCAAAAAATCAGCTCCGTTTTTAAACTGGGCGGTGAAATTATCCAGAGTGAAATGGGATGCGTGTAAAACTAAAATGCTTTTACGTGAAGGCTGTCAGCATATTATACTTATCAAATCAAGTAATATAATATATATTTATCAATTTTAATTGAAACATAATACTATTTATTCAAAGAGTAACAATAGAATGCATTGTAACTACCGACATAAATAAAATTTTAGAAAACTCGTCAATTAAAATTAGTAAATATAAAAATTGATAGATTTTGAAATAATTACTCGCAAGGATCGTTATGTTTCAATTTTTTTTTTTGATTCATTAAAATAAACAAGGTAATATAGTATTTATTTTTAAAAAATTCAATAATTATTTTCTACACTGATAGAAAAATTTTTCGACTGTTAATAAATACGTTTATTCCAAGTTAATTCAATAATTGATATAATTTAATAAACAAATTTTCTGCTGAATAAATATTCATTTGAGAGAAATATACATTCAGTAGCAATTAAAGAGTATTTATTGATTATTAATAAACATTTATTAATTGCTGATAAATATTTTCTATACTCTCATATCGATGTTAATGGATTATTTTAAATTTATGAAATTGCAATTTATAGTCATTGCCGTACTTGCTCCGATATCTTCAACAATTTATAGTATTTTCTAAAACATAAACACAAGGATTTTTATAATTATTTCTAAAACTTGAATAACAATTCCCGCTAAATTTTCTAATAAAAATATTAATAAACTAAAAACAAAAAAACTGCCCAACTTGATTAAAAAAAAAAATTTATCTATTAAGTAAATTTAATAATAAATGAAATACGGTTGCTTAAAAATAAGAGACTATAAAAAAAAATATTAAATGTCTTTATTCGCTTGATACTTTTCAGCCCTGATAAATATTTATAAACTTTTAATAAATCCTTTTTAATAAACGATTTATTAACCTCAGATAAATATTTATCAAGTATATATAACTCGGATTCATAAATAATTTCTTAATTAACAGATACCGTCGGAGGAGAAAGGACAAAAACAGTTATAAGATCTGGATCCCCTTTATAAAACTCGAAATCTCAAAGTTTTTTCACAAGTTAAGACTCAGAGCTCCTCAATATAAACGAGACTTGTAATTACGAGCAAACACAATAATTAGTACCTGGCATTTTGAGGACCGACAGACTTGGTCTCGTAACTAGATGAAGCAGATATCGCGTCGTCGGGTATTTTACCCTCTTCCATTCCCAGCGGGAGCACACATTGAGCTGTAAAATAATAATAAATTTATCAACTTTGTATTGAGCAAAAGCGCCAGCACCAGAAGAGAAAATCGAAAAGAGAGAGAGATAGAGAGAGAAAAATATAGCTAACTAGCGTAGAAGAGGATCTGCAGGAGTAAATGAAAGAATCGTATAGAAGGTAACGTGCCGTAGTGAGATGGTTAATAATGAAATGGCAGTGGATATAACGTACTCGTGGAAATGGGCAGAAATACGGGTGCGGGTTAGGTTGGACGCGGGCTCGTTTTCAAGCTTCCGCACGTTGGGCGCCCGCCGGTGGTCCCTTGGGCTCTTGGTTAACAGTAGAACGCGGGTAGGACCGTGGAGTTGTGGTGTAGCAGTACATAGAACATATACCAGATACACCAGCAGGATACAGGAGAAAATGAACACGATGTTACACTGGTGTGGATGCAAAAGGTCTGGGGTATGGAGCAGAGAGCGAACAAATTTCCGGAGCAACGCTCTCACTGTAGATTATTCATACTCACCGGAAGCATTCTTAATCTGGTGCTCTGGTGACGTCGACGCCGCGTAGCACCAAGTTACAATGGACGCCCCTAAAACTACAAGAGCGAACCTCCCAACCAGATTGACTCCTACCAGTGAGTTCCTCATGATCCGCCGCTAAGTCTGTTTCCGTTATTTGAATCCTAGCTTTAAATAGTGCTGACGGTGATCCTAATTCTGTTTCTGTTTCCAGTTCTGCTGCTAATGCTGGTGGTGTTGGTGTTGGTGTTGGTTCTGCTACTGCTGATGATGCTGATGCTGCTGCTAAGCCGTGAGATGTTGGCCATAGCAAACTCATTGCAGGCCCATCCGCCGGCTTCTGATGTCATACCATTTTACGCTGAAACAGAACAGTTGAACAAGAGAACAGTTAATTGTTCCGTTTGTCGTCCCTTCGGGCGCACGCCGAATGCTATAATTGCCCGTAGAGGAAGACGCGGAAATTAACTGAGGGAATGGGGAGACAAGTAAACGAAGAAGGTAACCAAGAAGACTAGACAAAGACATTACGAGATATTCCGTAGCTGTACGCCGTACGCCGTACGTCTCATCCTACTATCTACTATTCCACCCTCAACCTCACTCCATTTATCCGGTTATCTCTCTTGCTCTTGCTCTTGTTCTTGTTCTTGCTCTGACTTGAATCCGAAACTCCCAAGCGTTTTATCCACGGGAAAGATCGCTCGCCAGCAGCCACTTGAACCCCTTTTCATTGTCCGGTGAGTCGACAAATGCCAGCCAGTCGGAAGTTTAATGAGATTCTATACAAAAATTGTTTTACCCTTTGATTCAAGTCCATACACTTTAGCTATCTCATTGCTATGTATATTTATTTATATTACTACACCCACTGTTATGTGTTTAGTTGTTTCATTTGTTTAAGTTTTAATTCTCGACGTTTGATCCCCTCACTACTCTTCTATGCAGGATACATACCCTACCTATGTACATTGTATATACATGTATGAATGTATCAAGCTAACCGAAGTAAAGGGATAATTTGTATAAATATGTACGCATGTTTGTTTCAAGTGGTTCATTTGTGTATACCAGTGCTTTATATTGCCTTGATTAGGAAACAATCCTTTGAACAATGTCAGTGAGTTCGTCGAATTAAATTCATTGTACATTGTACAAGTGAGTTACTCTAAAGAAATGTGTAATGACAATCAGATCTATAGGGTTAATTGTTATCGATTACTAGACATACGAAATAAATTTCTTCACATTTATAGATTGAGAAGAAATCGGTCACGTGTGCTATAATATCTCCGCATTTTATATCAGTCATCAATAAAAAAATTTTTTTTTGCCATTCCTTTTAGAATCGCTCAAAACGTAAAGATCAGCAGAAAAAAAATTTTTGACGTACTAATGCCAAAAGAGCGTATCTTAAGATATACGCCCTTTTGGCTTTAGGACATTATCGGTCTATATATAAAAATTTTCCGGAGAAAGTTTGTGAAAAAAAAAATTTTGAAAAAGTCAACATTTTCGATAGTAGTAAATTTAAATTTCCATCATTTTGGACACTCCAATGATTAAAGAAGCATACGAATTAAAAATTTTTTCGCGTACTAAAATTTTATATTTTTTATAAATTTCCTTCTTATTCGTTGCATAAAATTGTAGTTAAAATCCATAATATGTATATATAGAATGAAAAACATCTTATTATAAGTAAAAAATTGTTAACTAATCGTTAAAAAATTTTTTGATCTGAGTATAGCTGAATATAGATCTGGTGAAAACTTAATTTTCAAAAAACGTTGGTTAAATCAATAACTTTCCGCTTTTAGAAAATTTTTAATTTTCTTAACGGGAAGTTAAAAATTATACGCCTCTTTGGCTTTAAATCACTAAATTTTCAGTGTTCTAAAGCCAAAAGAGCGAATAACTTGGGACATACGCCCTTTTGGCTTTGGAAATTTTTTTTTTCATTTTTAGGCTTAGAACATGTTTACAAAACGATTGGCACCAAAAAAAAAAAAAATTATACGCCCTTTTGGTTTTGTAAAGCCAAAAGGGCGTATAACTTTTATCCGCCCTTTTGGCATTGGGCACGCGATATAATTGATGTTTTATCTTCAATTTTCTGATCTTGATTTGTGATAACTTTTATTTTATTGTAAAAAATTCAATATTAATTTAATAATTTATTGTATTTTTTTTTTTTAGATATTAAAGCGTGTTACCGAAAAAAATCAATACATCAAAAAATGTGTCGCATATAGTATAAATTTCATACATGATTTTTCACTCTTAACTGCTGGTATGTAAATTTAAAATTTTTAAAAGGCTCTATTCATAAATAAAAACTTTAAATAGTCCTTTTAGAAATATTATCGACAGTAAAATTCTATTAACCAATGTATATCGTATTAGATGTAAGGTTAACTTGGTATGTAAGCGATAACATAAATCTTGTTAGGTTTTTTAGCAGCCTCTTCCCTAAGAAGAAACATATTGAATATAAATTCAATCATGTATACAAATGTAAAATAAGCAACCCCTAAAGTGGGACAGGATTTACAAATTTGTTTAATACATATAATTTAATTTATGCAAAATACTGTAACATAATTATAATACTATTATTATAAATTGATAGAATTATTTCAGCGTGAAGATATTTTCAACTTCCTGTTATGAAGATTGAAAATTAAAAAAAAAAAAATGAATCAGGGGTTTGAAATCCTGTAGAAAGCTAATCTGACTACGTTTGGATAAACGTTCGGATATGTGTGTAAATCGAATTTTTTTTCATACAACAAAATATCTTTAGAATGAATCAATCGACTGAAATCGGGTTTGGGGTATTCTAAAGGTTTCTCGAGACTTGGATCGGATTAGGGTTTGTAGTCAATCCATCAAGTAGTTTGAAATAACATTTTTCATGTTTTTTGCATAACTTCTTATATCTTCGATCGATTAATCTTAAAACTTGATGATAAGTTTTTGATAACTCTTTAGATTACTGAAGGATTCAATGTAATTAGTTTGTTAGTTGAAAGAACTTTATGAAGAAAGAATTACATTTACAGAAATTTTAAAAATTAAAAAAAAATTTAATAATCTTCCACAGTTATTTAAACTTTTCAGACTGATTTAATATTCTTGAAACATTTCAGAAGCTCCCAGAAGCTTCAGGATTTAAAAAAATATGTTCAACCCTTCAGCACTTTCGCTCCGAGAATTTCACTCGCACAATAACATTCGACTTAAAGGATGCCGCTATCGCACAGAGCGAAGAGCGAGACACTAAAAGTGGGAGTGCTGAAGGGTTAAGAGGGTTTTAGAGGGATATAAAATCTTCCAGAACGGCTTATAATGTTTTAAAAGTTTTCAGAATGTCTCACAATGATTTAGAGAAATCGGGAAGAATATAATACTTTTCACAATAGTTTTGAACCGCGATAAAATCAGTATTCAAATTTTTATTACGTGTAATGGATAAAATCAAAATAATAGTTTTTCCATCAAGAGTTGTGTTAACACCCATGATTTATAATTTAATAACCAAATAAGTGATTATTAATAAGCAAAATAAATGTACGAGTGCTCTTTAAATATTAATCTAGTAATTTATTTATGTCAATATTGCTGTTTTAATGGAAAGAGAATTTTGTACTGTATTAAAAAATAAAGTGTTTAAGTTGCCAGTGAAATTCAGATCAACGAATGAACGAAACGTAGTTCTTGAATTAATGAAGCTAATTAATAATTTAATGTTCAATTTCCTGATTATTTCTGGTAATTAATTCACTTATTTTTAACTTTTTGATTTATTATTTATAAAGGGTATGTTTACTTTAGTTGAAGCTAAATTAGTGTGATCCTTAAATTTGTATTTGAAATTATAGTCAGCACATTTTCTGTTTGAATGCGCTGTTGTATATGAAATTCTAATGTTTGAGTACGGAATAAATCAAATGTTGATTTTTAACTTTTCAAATAGCAATATGAACCCCAGAGAGATTAATAGGTAAAATTCTAAGTAAATAGTAATTTTTATTCATATGAAGCATGAATTTCCAATACGGTTTTTTATAGAAACTTTTATCAATTAATTATTAAAAAATTTTTTGTTTTCAGTAAATTTTTCTTCCGTGTGTAAATTTAGATTTTATATTGCTTCTATAATAAAGTTTTTGACAATTCCATGAATAAAATATTTTGCACTGTCAGTATTTGCAAAGACTGCATAATTGTCAACCGAAAAATAGATAAAAATATATGAACCAGAATTAATGAAGACGATAAATGTCAAGTTAAATTTGGGCATGAGGCATGAGTTGATGCGGATGTATTATTTAGTGAATTTATATGCTATCGAAATTTATTTATGTATTTTCATATATTCACTGTGAGAAATACTTGAAGTTGTAACATTTACAACAATATTACAATTTAAATAACATCAATAAATACTTAATTCTCACAAACATCTAACAATACTTATCTTCAATATTTTATTATTTAACAATTCAAATTGCTGATGTAACAGATTTAAAAATTTTTATCCAATTAAAAAGTTTATCTTAAAAACTTTAGTAAACTCGATTTATATTCATTATAATAATGATAACTATTTCTTATGAACTATAAATCATCAGGTACAAAGAACAATTTATACATTTAATAAAATTCTTTTGGCGACTAACTTTTAATTAATTTTAAAAATTTTAACTGCTGAATATTTTGTCGTTCTATAACAGTTAGTAACAGCAATTAAGTTTTAATAGTTGACCCTTTTTAGTAAACATATCGACGTTCTACCAAGTGGTTGGAAAATGCGATTAAATAAACTGTAAAAAGATTTGACACTACATTAAATAAAATTAACAAGTATTATATTTCTTTTTTAGAACAGAATTTGAAGATGTGTAATACAATCAAGAGTTTAACGATCGTAATTTTTTTTTTCTTGAAAAAATAGTTTTAATTTTTGTCCAAAAATAAATATTTAGATAGTTTAAAATTCTAAAAAAAAAAAGTAGCAGTCCGTAAATTTACATACATTTGAGTAAAAAATTGAAGACCTATATTTTGACATGTCAGTAATGATATAAATCAACACTATGATCAACTAATAAATATTAATAAAT